GGAACAGAGAGAGAGACCCACGGTGCCGGGTGGTGCCCTCCCCCCCCCCCCCCCCCCCATCTCTCTCTCTCTCTCTCTCTCTCTCTTTTCCTCTTCTTCTTTCGTTCGAAAGTGACGATATATATATCGTCTGATAATATACTAAGACGTATTTATTTTCTCTTAAATACAGTCACACTTCTATCTGCTTTATTCTACTATTTACTTTGATTATATTCTAACTATTAGTGGTTAAAAAATTGTTGCATCGTCATCATCACAAATTAAAGTTGTGAGTTTTTTTTTAATCAATATAAAAACTTTTTTGTTCTTATTTAGTTGAAATTAATACCTGTAATAAAATGTGAAACTTGTGCTTATTGCCGTCATTTAAAGAAAGATGGTCCTCTTCGACGTATTTATCTTGGACAAGGTGCATATGAAATGTTTGACAGTGTTTGTATGCCATGGGTCAGTTAAATATTTTTTTTTCACTTTTACTATGTGTTATTAATGCTTTTATTTTCTTTTAGTACTACCATCCATCATGTGCTGTTGCTCATTCCAAAGAGTGTAATGATCCTTTTAATAGTTTAGATATTCAAGCATTAAGTGGTTTTAAAAAAAAAAGTGAAGAACGATTTAATTAGCAATGGTCATGGTCAATTGTAAGTTATAATTTTAATAATAACTATTCGATATTTATATTCTTTTCAATATTTTTAGTCGCCGGTCAACAATGAAATCATGTTTTTTTTCATGGTCATCATCAACTCTCTCTTTCTTTTTTTTGTTATGTTTTTTTTTCCTCATATTTCTCATCTACTATTCCATTGCTGCATTTTATTACTTGGCTTTTTCTTGCTCTTGTCATTTTTTTTCTATAAAACATTTAAAAAAAGATGATATTTCTCATGATATCACTACATAAAATCTTAATATTTCTAACTAATAAAAATTTCATTGAATGAAAAACCTCAAGACAGATTGAGAATGAAGATAAATCTCATTTACATTGAATAAGATAATGTTTTAATAAATAAGTTGTTGCTGGTTAATGTTGATTTTGAATATAAACATTAATTCGATTAAGTTCAATAAGATATTTTTCATATTTGATTAGATTACTCTTCATTCAATGTTTTCGAGGATGAATTGAAATACAATGTAATCAATAAAATTTTTATTTGTGTTAAAGAAAAGTATGATAATCAAAGATTGACATAATTATTTAATTGTTGATTTAAATCAGTAAGTTGCTTATGAAGATCAAGAAGAAAGAAAAAAAAACATTAGCATATGAATACGAAGATCTTCAGTTTGTTTCTTGTCAATATTCGAACATTCATTAATTTGTATCAACTAAAGAGAAAGAAACGAATTTCTAATTAAATATCTATTAATACTGGCTTCTGTATTGATATGATGTAATATTCTATTGATATTAGTTTATTCTTGAGCAAGTCTTTTATAGTAAGTGGATAAGAAACTACTATTAATACATCAAAATGAAGATTTAATTGATGTACTATCAATAAGAGTTTGTTGAACATTAATTATTCCATGAAAATGATTTCGTTCGTTGATCATCCAACCAAGATTTAAAATCTATTCGTTTAGAAAAATTGATTAAAACTTTTTCTGAAGATTTATGTTATAAACTTTATTATAGACAGAAATGAATAAATTCAATACTCTCTCGACACGGTTCTAAAGTAACTAAAAAAATCAAGGTAAAAGTCAGTTGAATTCAAACTTCACTTTTAAATTACTTTAAATATTTTCTTTAAGTAAATCAATAATAAATATACAAAAAATAATCATTATTTGAATAATGGTCATAAAAATACTAATGAGATTTTGTTTAATCCTTAGAAACAAAAGCATAATTGCCGACATATAAAACATCTCTAAAAGGTAATCAATCTCAATTGACAAGAATTGGATTAGAAACAGCAACTGTAACTGTATAATCCTATTTCAAATGTAATTTACAATAATCACAAAAACATCTATGGAACAATTATTCTAAATGTTTTATACATATTATCATCTGCTGATAAATAAGTGATATATGCTCACATTACATCTATATAACAAACACACTCAATTTCAATTTTCGATTATTTAAAAAACGAATTTACCGAATAGAGTTCCGATGAATCCCATTCTCATTATTGTAAATGTTCTATCCACAGTATTACTTTGTATGATACAGAGAGCAACTAAAGTCTATAATTTATTTTCAAAAACATTTGTCAAATGAGAACCTATTACAAAAATGAAAGCAACACCAATGATTATCATACTTTTCAATGATGATAAAAATCTTGACAAATTAGTTTTAAATATGCTGTCAGTTTTCTTCTTTTTTTTTCTTTCTTTTAAAGTTTTTTCTTTTGATTAATCATTGTAAGCTCATGTCAATAATCTTACAAAACATGTTATTCTATTGTTTATGTCAAATTAATATTTTTTTTTTATTTCGTTCGTTTTTTGCAAGAACTCTGATCAATTGATAAAAGACTCGAAAAATAACTGAACATATGATCAAAAAAAGTTTGTACTAAACTAGTATTCATTCTATTTTAGTTATTAATTCATTTGGAACAAAATTTCCATAAAATAAACAATACAACTGCATATATCGATAAAAATATTGCAATAGAAAAAAGAAACCAAAAATTCACTTTTGTATATTTCACTGAAAACGTTCCATTCGTTCCAGAGATTAATTTCAAAAAATAAAATTTAATTAGATTATGATGGATCGATCACTATAATTAAGTCGGCTGACTGCACGAAGTGCAGGCAGAGCCGACTTATTGCTTTTCACTAGCTTAGTTGCCATGGCAAATTCTTCTTTAAGTCGGCTGACTGCACGTAGTGCAGTTTGCCGACTTATTGCTTTTCACTAGCTTA